TAGGTCGCAATAAATGTATCTTCAATATTCAGCGTACGTATCTCAACATATGATTTAGGACAACAATTCTTGTATTTTAAAATATATCAATATATCTTCAAATTTATATTTGTTACAGATAAAGTTTTGACACAAAAAAATTAATAAAAGCAATTCAAAACACTCAGTAAAATGCATGACTTCCTCAATCTAAGGATACTTATGGGTATGCAATTAGCGAATTTGATGAAGCCATCAATGCTTTGGAAGCCAAAGACAAACACAGCTTAAACTAATGACACAAAGAGACTTGTGCACAGACGAATTACCAACTGCTAAACCTATTACTCCACAACTTCTAAAAAAGATTTTTGATATCGATAATGTCTCAAGCATTAATTAATGGGTGATTTTGATCAGAGCCAAAAGTTGACCAATTAATAAGCTATATACCAAAAGATACTTTAAAATTGGGTGTCAGTTATCACGTCCTCTTTTCTTCACCATTTTACCCCTACTTACAAGTAACGCGTTATGAGCCGACAAGAGTATAAGCTTTTCTGACAAAAAAAAAACTTGTGGACCTATCGACTTGCATTTTGTTTGAATAAAATTAATAAATTATTCTTTACATATTTTAATATTGCATTTTTTTTTTCGAAAATAAAATAATATTATTCTGAATGAAAGAATGTGAACATTGGATGTCTACCAGACAACAATAGTGGTGCTAACTTAATAATTTTTCATTTAAATTTGACAATGATCGTAATTAAGTTAGCATTGAACAAAGTTATCTTTCATTTTTGATACAATATACTATTGAATTATTTAGCACAACAAAATGAATTAACATAGATAAGGTGATCAAGTTATTATATATAATATAGTTAACGTATATAAAGTTAGCAGATATTTACTTTGTTATATTGTTAACGCTGTTATCATATAAAATGTTAACGTGCTAACAATAATATCTGATTTTTGTAACGTGCTAATAATAGTATCTAATTTTTGTAACGTGCTAATAATAAGTTAATTTGGTAAAGCGATATTTTATTATAATTTTCTAACAAATAGATTGATAAGTATGTTGATGATGGTAACAATGTTAAGAATTTTATGTTCTTGTAACTGATTAATGAGTTTATATGGAACAATTTAACAAACATACTTACTGTTAAGAAATATATTGTATGATTAACATTAAATACGTAGATAGTTACAGAAAAAAACAAGTAAACAAATATGAGAATAACAAACATCACACTCTCTGCATTCATCTATCTCCTTCCTAATTATGTGACCTTGCATAATGAATATTACGATTTGTCTTGTATCGTGGTTTGATGTGATCTGCCAGATACCAAAACTTTGTAGAAGTTAGCTGATGTTTATTTTGTTAACTTGACATAAGTTAACATTTACATTATTGATAACATTACTTTTAACGCTAACAATGATATCAAATGAGTGATTAATTTAATAGATATATAGTAAAATTACTGGACACAAGTATTTATTTTGTTTTATTGTTAATGTAGTTATCATATAGAATGCTAATATGCTAACAATAATACTTATTTTGGTAATATGCTAACAATAATATCTGATACTTTACATATATGTGTTAAACCAATAGTTATCAGATTATATCAGTTATTACATCAAACATGAAGAAATATCAATTTTGAATGCAACAATAATAATAACAAGGCACACCTCCTTTTAATGTGATAATATATTAGGTTATTATGCTAAGTTACACACTGTATTAGCTACCTCAACGAGAAGTAACCATTATCCGCAAAATGGAAAGATGAAAGAACACCTAAAAAAAGAAGGAATATGGAACGATGGAGAAGGCGACGATACACAAGAAGAAAGAGACTTGATGACAAGATAAATATTTAGAATATCAATAAAATAAAAAAATATCTAAACCTCACATCTTTTCTCTTTGGAGTCCACATGCAGGTGATTAGAAGTTATAAGCAGAGAATGAGAGTTGCAAGCATAATAGGGACTGAGTGGAAATTTTATAAGCAACAATACAGTTTGAATAGTGGTTGACCGAGAGAACTAATATTGATGTTAATCAATGGTATCTAGTGGTAATACCCTTAATTATATTAGTGATTTCTCTTATATTACCTAACAATAAATAAACTGTTATAAATTAGTATTGTATGTTGGATTTAGTTCTAAAACAGTGTTTTTATGCTTCTTAAAGAACATACTATCGTACAAAATTAGTAAAATACTCTATTTGAAGAATTAAACTCTATATTAAGTTTTTAACTAAGTCAATGTCTTGTAGAAACTAGTGAAACAACAAACAAATAATTGTTTGTGAATTAAAGCATATACTAGATTTTAACCCCGTGCGTCTGCACAGGAATGTTTTATTTTTTTTTATTTCTAATATAAGTTGCATTTATCTTTTTTGTTTAGATATAATTTATTTTTGTTATTTATTTTTTTAAATAAAAAAACTGTTATCATATTTTAATTTTAAACAGTAAAATTTGTATATTAGTAGAATAAGAGTATACGTTAATTAAGTATACATTGATCTAATGTTAATTATAAATTTTGTTATTATGTGAATTTAAATTTACACATAAACAATCTATATATATAAGAATTTGCTAATCCATCCGTTTAGTTGTCTTAAATCATTTTTAATATCTTACATGTTTTGACAAACTAACTCGTATAAGACTATAATTATAATTGTATAACCCTATAAATATTTACTAATATGGAATATTTGGACCAATTGATTTTGAAAAAATATAATAAGATATTTATTTACTATTTGTGCTATTAAAAAAATGTAACATGTTAGTTTAATTGTCTCAAATCATCTTAATATCTTACATGTTTTAATAAATTAACTCATAGACCTTAAATATATATATATATATAACTATAATCAGCTCGATCATATTATTGTATAATATAAATATTTATTAATCTCAAATATTTGATATTTTAGACCGATTGTTTATGATAAAATACGATAAAATATTTATTTACTATGCATTTTTATAAAAATATTATTTAAATTTAAAATTTTAAATTAAATCTTTTGTGTATTTAAGAAATTCTAAAGTATTAAAATTATTATCTAAATTTTCGTAATCAAATTTAGTTATAATTTTTTAATTTTTTGAACTTAAATTAAATTGAATGCAAATTTTTGTAACTAAATTTAATTAAAATTTTAATAATTTGAAATTTAAATTAAAGATGACCTAGATTTTAGGAAATCTAAAAATATCTAAATTAATAACTAATTTTCGGAAATTAAAAATAAAAATAAAATAAAATATTATAAAAAAACTTTGGGAGTGTTTGGATGCAAGCACTAAATGTGCTTCTGTTTTAATAGAATATATTTATGTATATATGCATCTCCATATATTATTTCTATATATATTATATTATATATATAGAAATTATGAGAGTAAGAATAAGTTGGGGGAGAGAGATGAGAGCAAGGAGAGGATAAGAAAACCATTTCTCTAATTCAGTTGCTCTTTCTCTTTACAAAGCTGAGATAACATATTTATACTATTATATAAACTAATAAAATAATAACATGGTAGAGACTTCAGCGACGTGAGTTAATAACAAACTTATAAATGGGGTAGGTAATAAACTTGTCTATGAAGGAAATTGTTGGATAATCATCCATTTTATAACACTCCCCCTTGATTATCCATCACTATCAATATATTATGTACTGCCTCGTTAAAAATCTTATTATGGAAAACCCGTTTGGGACAAAAACCATAATAAGGAAAAAGTGCACTAACACTCCCCCTGGAAAAGATATATATATTCTTCTTTTCCATTGAACGCTTAGATGATGGAGTCGCTCTCTTTGATAGCTGAGTCTGGATTTCTACGTCATTTGGATGTCAATCCTTTGCATATTCCTTGATGCCTCGTTAAAAACCTCAACATGGAAAACCCGATGGGACAAAAACCATGGTAAGGGAAAAAGAGTGCATCTACGCATATCATCATACTTCTTTTTTCAGAAGTATTCCTCTTAAGAGATCTATATTTTGCATGTTCTTTGCTGCCTCGTTAAAAACCTATTCATGGAAAACCCCATTGGGACAAAAACCATGATAAGGAAAAAAAAGTGCAGCCACACTCATCTTCTAGACGAATCTCTTTATATAGTTCTTATGGAACCCATTAATATATGTCTTCTGGACATATATCTTTATTTGGTTCTTCAGAGACCTTTTCAAAAATGTCTTCAGGACATCTTTATTCGGTTCTTCTGTAACCTTTTCACAAATGTCTTCAGGACATATTCTCTATATGGTTCTTTTGGAACCTTTTCACAAATGTCTTAAGGACATTTTCTTTATATCGTTCTTTTGGAACCTTTTTACAAAGAAGGGATTTTTATCTTACAAGCCTATCGGCCTCCCGCGCTTTAATTACTGCGGTTCATTTGCTCTATTCTTATCAATAATTTATTCCAGAAAATTTCTTTTGATGGAGCATTAGCAGCGGGGATATATGATTTCGTCACCCATCTTATATCTTTGAACACATCAAGTAACTGATTTGCCAAACTTTGCAAATGTACAATTTTATGAACTTCACCTCACGTTTATTGGTAGGAGGATCGAGATAAACCAAAGTTTATATACACTTTTGTGCTATCTTGTTGTGATTCTCTAGATCCTCCTCCTCAACGCAGGGAATTCATTTTCATCAAAGTGGCAATCGGCAAAACGTGTCGTAAACATATCTCCAGTTACCGGTTCAAGATCACATTTAGAATAATCCTTTTTATTATACTACTCGAGAAACTCTTCAGGAATTTTGATGATCATCATTCTTTATTTCAATCGAGTAGTGTTCCCGGGAACAGAAATTCCAATATAATCCTTTAGGGATTAATTCCTCTAGAGGTTAATCTTTGGTTCCACTTTTTTTGTAATGACATAGTAAATCGAGATATCTTATCATCGATTTCATTCAGGTACCTGATTTTATCATTAACCATGTCAATAATCTTTTCAGGAGATCAATCCTCTTTTGCTCTTTTTCATTTGAGGATTTGCAACCAAAGTAGTCTATCACGTTTTTTACGTGTCATAGATGCAAATAGACCGTCCTTCATGGACTTCTATTTTTTAGTGGAGCTCAGCTGGGATATGAGATTTGTTTTTTCACTCAATATAAACTTCAGGTTCGTATGAGGATCCATCAGCTGTTTTCTATATGCCATACTGCATATTTTATGTCACCACATGGAGATCACCGTAATTGGTTTTGCAATCCCTTGGATTTGCTTTATCTTAAGCTCATTTCGAGTGCAAACATAATCTTCTAGATGTTCAGCTTACTCTCGAGTGGGATTCTTTAATTCTCTCCCTCGAGATGATGTCACTTTCAAGGTCTATCTATCTCAAATTGAATTCCACTCTTGGACCAACACATATCCAATGAGCTTTTTAAAAAATGGTGATCCATCCATGGATGCTTTTCATGATGGCTTCATTTTTTTTCTTTAAGACATGCAATAGTTGAAAAAGCTTCTGGTTTTTCAACATGTATTCTCAATGATCTTATATTAGAACTACCAGGATGGCTTAACCGGTTTATTCAATTAGTAAACTTCACTTTTACTATGGTATATACCCATGCCATCTTTTTTTTCTTATAACATATATGTATGTTACCATCATGTGCTCTTGTGCAACATTTTTCTCTCGGAGCTTCTTGCTCTTACTTTTAGCTCTTCCGGAGCTTCTAGCTCTTACAGGGCTTTTATCTCTTCCGGAGCTTCTAGCTCTTACGGGGCTTTTGGCTCTTCCAGAGCTTTAAGCTCATACAGGGCTTTTAGCTTTTCCAAAATTTTTGATTTTTAAAGACAGGTTTTGATGTCTTTGATCCATACTGTAATCGATAAAATATAAAAGATAATAAAATATATAAACTCATAATAATAACATAACTGGTATAGCTTTCATAGGTTTTGAAGGCACCGAGCCTACCATAAAAATAAAGAGGAGACATAACCTTTCACTCCGTCAATTTGTGTTTATGGAGGAGGTTTAACCTTCCACTCCATAAAATTTGATTAAGGAGGAGGATTAAACCATCAACTCCATAATTTTAAGATCACGAAGGGGTTTAACCTTCTACTTCATAAAATATATGATCAAGGAGAAGACATAACCTTCTACTCCATAATATTAGTAAGGAGGAGATTTAATCTTCCACTCCACAAATATAAATACAGAGGAGGATTAACCTTCCACTCCAACATTTTCTGATCATGGAGGAGGTTTAACCTTCCACTCCAATAATTTGTAGCCATGGAGGAGGTTTAACCTTTCACTCCATAATATACATAAGGAAGAAGATTAACCTTCCACTCCATAAATAAATTTAAATGTATAAACATAAATTAAACAAAGAGAAGGCACAACCTACAACTCCATAAATAAATTTAAATGTATAGCATAAATTAAATAAGGAGGAGGTATAACCTACCACTCCATAAATATAAACAAGGAGGAGGCTTTACTTGCTACTCCATTATTATGATCTGAAAAGACATATTCTACCATATGATCATATGATCGTGAAGGCATAGCCTATCATAACGATCGGTTCGGGGAAGGCATAGCCTATCATCCCGTAAACTTAAAAATAAATTGAATATAAATTTAAATCATCGGTTTGGAGAAGCCAGAACCTATCAACCCGAAATAATACGTAAATGGAGAGACAGAGCTTATCTTTCCGTCTTCGTAAATAATATATAAATTTTAGATCGATTAAACATAAATAAATCTTACCTCCAAATATATGGATGGATTAAGAGTCGATCGTGCTGATAACGTAATGTGAATTAAAGCATATATTTATATATATATGCATCTCCATATATTATCTCTATATATATTATATTATATATATATATATATATATAAATTATGAGAGTAAGAATAAGTTGAGGGAGAGAGACGAGAGAAAGGAGAGGAGAAGAAAACTATTTCTCTTATTCAGTTGCTTCTTCTCTTTACAAAGCTGAAATAACATATTTATACTATTATATAAACTAATAAAATAATAATATGGTTGAGACTTCAGCAAACGTAAGTTAATAACAAACTTGTATATGGGGTAGGTAATAAACTTATCTATGAAAGAAAGTATTGGATAATCATCCATTTTATAACAATAACGATGTTTTCTCTTGTTTGCCATTAGACATTATCTAGTCTAGCAAAATAAAGAGCAGCAAATAAAAGTATAAGACATAATCTCGCGTGCTTCTCCCGCATTATTAAAATTCTTCAAACTCATCGTCATTAGAATTAATTTGTTTTCGATTTATTTTAAAGGAATAAATATGAGAAAAGTGGTCAAATACTTGGGGGTCTTAGTAAAGTTAGATATTTACGAACCCAACCACTCAGATCCACGCCCACTCGGGTTAAAACCATAAATAATCGGGTCCTCGGTCAAAAATGAAGAATTGGGTCAATCCCTAAATATCAAAAATACTAAAAAAAAAATATTTGAGTAATTTGAATTTTGAAATCGCCATCATCGTCGCCAAGTTCGTGTAATATTCCCTGGGACAACTATGAGTGATTTGCTGCAACGCTCTAAATCAGGTTTGTTCGTCTTCGTCCTCTGTTTTCTACATTGTCTGGGTTAAACGACTTATTATTTAGAGAACTTTGTAGATGTAAAATCGATTTTGTGTAGAATCAAAATCGATTTATATGTGTTATATTTCTCTCTATTCGGTTGGTAAGTACAAAATAGGAGTCATGGATGGTATTGAAAGAGGGTTTAGGTATGATGAAAGTGGGTTTAGATATGCTAGGCAAGAACTGTACTCAGATTCCGATTCGTCGCAGGAGAAAATGGTAGAAGTAGCCGATTCGGAGATGAGTATAGTGGAGTGGCAGGACAGAACGGATACTACCGAAAATGAGGCTGAGGAGGAGGAGAATCAGCCATTGCCACCCGTCAAGATGTTCTTTGATCCCAGTCAATATCATAATGCTATAAAGTTGGGAACAAGATGTTACATCCACAAAGCTGTTGCGAAATTAGAGTCAGTAGATCTTGAACCGGATGAGCTGAGATGGTTTAGAGAACATCCACAGTTCCAGCATTTTTGGCACATGCATAGGACCATGTCTGAGGAGAAAACACACAAGATGATGGGAATGTGGATGCTTCTGCTTCGGACAGCAAAAACAAACAAGAAGAGGGAAGCTTGGTTTGTAGTAAATGGGGTTCCTATTTGCTATTCCCTTTACAGAGCATGCCTTTTTGTCTGGACTAAACGGTCTACCTTACCCAGAAGACTAGGGTAGCATAGGAAGTAGTTCATTTAAGGACACCTATTTCGAGAATAATGTCCCCTCCCTTGTTGCTATTGAAAAACAACTAGAGTCAATGCGATATCGAGATCATCCTGATCGGTTGAAGATGTGTGTCGCCTACTTCTTATCCTGCATAATTAGTGGAAGACAAAAACCGGAAAAGGGAGCACCATCTGTTGACCCCTTATTCCTGAGAATGGCTGATGATCTTGATGCTTGTAGAACATTTTCTTGGGGTAGGTATTGATTTGATGTGAACATGAAGGAGATTGAGCATACAATGAGGCATTTCAAAGCGGTCATCGAAACAGATGCATGCACATTTCCAAGCTTTGTTACTCCATTGGAGATATGTGGCTTTATTTAGAATATGTTGGTCTTGTAATATTTGAGGTGAAGTGTAATTTCTTGAGTTATGTATAGTTGCTAGCATTTGAAGCCATCCCATGTCTGAAGAACAAGTACAGAGAAGATGTAAGAAGAGCAGATAGGTCTTGTCCTCGGATGTGCAGGCAGAAGTTCCAATCATTCACCCTTCCAGGTTTCCCTCTCTCGGATATCTATGAAACACTGGGTAACACCAGGGAGATCGAGAGTATATTGCAACCATCCGAGGATGAGGATATAATGCTTGCTGGAATCATGGAGAGGAGGATTGTAGAGAATGTTGATGATATAATTCCTGACTATGTGTTAATACTTAGTATTGTGTGGTAACGCTTAGTATAATAAAGTAACACTATATTATATTAATTGGTAGGAAGAAACAGACGTTGCTGACGCTGTGAATGAGGAAGTGGGTGAGAAAGGAGAGAATCTCCAAAAAGAAGTGGGTTTAGGCAAACAGAGACAAGAGCAATCGAAGGCAGGGCCAAGCACAAGGCAGAGACGTTAGTGTTGTGTCTTGTCTCTTCCTCCTCCTCTCCACATCTATTAACGTTGACATTTGGTATTTTCTCTTGGTATTTGTATTGGGATTTTACTCGCAAACTTTGGTGTGTGTATGTACTTCTATTTTCTGTTATTCTCTTATTGGAGGGAAAATATTTAGTAGTTTAATACATTTATTAGTTCAAAGTAATAGGATAAAGGAGACAGAGAATATAACTAAGTATTACCAAGTATAAAGAAGTGTAAATTGAGAAACCCTAATTTTAGTATAACATAGCACTACTGGTGTAACCATCTCGTAAATATGAATACTCATAAATAACATTTTGACTAAATTAGGAAAAACAAATCTGAATACTTATAATAATAAACAGAGAACATAAGTAAGTACAAAATATAAGTTATTTAGTTTGATGCATGAGTCACATTCACCATTCCGTCATGTCAGGAAAACCCTGCACTACCCAGTACACAAAACGGAAAAACCTTCCGCCTTCGTGAGTTAAGAAGCAGGAGTTGCAGATGTTCCCCGGTTTATACATCTCCTCACACCAATACTCCCATTGGTTGACTTGAGCGCACGGACAGTTGTGGAGAGTGCGGTAAAAGATAGGCATAAAGCGACGTTGGGCTTGATTGAACATCTCCGGCAACTCCAACGGCCAATGAAGACATCCGTTTGCAATGATTGTGCGGATGCACTTACTTATGGTGTCTCGGCTTAGTTGGCCGAGATACTCATCACACTCTGGATGGT